TGAAGTGGGAATGGGGAGGGACTGGGAGGCTGTGGGATGAAGGGGGAATGGGAGGGACTGGGGGTAATAGACTGGACTGGGTGATGGATGGGGAAACTGGGAGGACTGGGGTGAACTGAAGTGGACTGGGGTGGGTGACTGGAGGGACTGGGGGAGGTCAGAGGTGGATGTTGGAGACCAGACTAGTCTGGGGGACATTAAGGGACCAATGGTGCACTGGGGAAATGGAGGGTAGAGGGCTGAGGTGGAATGGAGAGGACTTGGAGACTGGGGCAGACTGGGATGGACTCAGGAGACAGAGGGTCTGAGAAGGGACTGGGACATCCTGGGAGAAGTGGTGATAGTGAGCTGGGATAGACGTGGGAGGACTGGGATGGACTGTGGGACTGGGGACAACATGTGGCAGGGGGATGGGGTACCAAGTGCAGGCAGAGGCTGTGCAGACTGGCACCCACAGCCCCTCTCCCTGCAGGACCATCCCCACGGTGCTGATGGCCACGCAGCAGAGCCAGCCTCGGGACAGGGCAGCAGGTGTGACAGCCCCAAGCAGGCAGCAGGGCAGGAGAGCCCACCCCTCCCAGTGCCCTCTGCCGTGAAGGTAATGCCTGTGCCTCCAGGCTCCCTGGGAGAGGGCACAACCCCAGGGCACCTGGCTGCATCCCAGCCTGAAGTGCCCACGTGCTGCACCCCACATGGGTGGGAGGTCTCAGGGTTTGGCTTTAAGGCTTGGAATAGTGCAGGGAGACAAAGCTTGCTGTGGAAAACTGCAGTTGGACTCATAATAGTATAAGGTATAGTTTTGTGCCCCATGAGAGGTGATTGTTCAGGTCCTGGGGCTAGGTAGGAGCAGAAGGAGATGCAAGGCAACACTGAAACACCTTCCAGGAAAGAAGGGACATTCTCCATCTCGTGTGCTGTGCTGTGCAGCACAACTGGGATGTGACATGACCCTGAGGGACTCCCCCACATGCAGGCTCAGCAGCTCTAGGAGCTGGAGTGTCAGGATGCCAGCAGGAGCTGCCCTCTCTGGCTGGAGCTCTTCTCCCAGCTGATCCCTTTCCTTCTCGGGCCAACAGTCCAAATCATCCAGCGACAGCAAGAACCGTCACAAAAAGCCAAAGGACACCAAGCCCAAGGTGAAGAAGCTGAAGTACCACCAGTACATCCCCCCAGACCAGAAGGCAGAGAAGTCCCCTCCTCCCATGGACTCAGCATATGCCAGACTCCTCCAGCAGCAGCAGCTCTTCCTGCAGCTCCAGATCCTCAGCCAGCAGCAACAGCAGCAGCAGCAGCAGCAGCAGCACTTCAGCTACCCAGGGATGCACCAAGGCCAGCTGAAGTGAGTGGCAATGTACCAAGAGCAGCCTTTAGCTCTGTTTCCCTCCCAGCTTTCTCTTCCCATACCCATTTGTGCCCATGCAAAGGGGATGGATGCATGCAAGGGACACACGAAAGCTTGGGAACATTGCAGAGTCTCCTGCAAAGCTGCTCTGGCTTTAGGCACTGCCTGGGGGCACCTGTGACCTACTGGTGGGTCACTAGCAATCTCCCTAAGTCCCAGCCTGGTTCTTCTGGGGCTTGGTGGTCCTTCAGGTCTCAGACAGGAGACAGGAGCCCCATGGGAGCAGAGAGGTGGCACACTGAGGGGAGGTTGGGGCTGGGGGGGCAGACAAGTTACCCCAAATCTCCTTTGTTATTTCAGGCAATCAAATGAGCAAATGGTCAAAAGTTCAAATTCTTCATCAACTTCTGTCAACAACACCCCTCTCTCTCCTGTGAAAACCACCTTTTCAGGCCAGACTTGTGTCTCATCTATCAAGCCAGGCCCTCTACCATCTAACCTGGATGATCTGAAAGTGAGTGCAAAACCTTGTCACTGCAGGAGCAGAGTCTGGTGTCCTGAATGTGCCTCCCTGCCCCTGAAGTGTGCAGGGCAGTGACCACGTTCCAGAGCCCCAGACCAGAACCAGCACACTGTGACCGGCCCCAGGAATCCATCCCACTGGGTCAGGAACTGACCACCAGGGTGGTAAACAGGAGTTTGCTGCTCTGTCGTGGTGTGTGCACACACATTGCTCCAGGGCATGGACCCACAAAGCTTAGGTGTAACTTGAGGGGGCTGCCAGCCAGGCCAGCAGGTCAAGGACCAAAGGATCGTCTGTGCTGCTGATCCTGCAGCTCAGGGCTCCATTGCTTCTGTGGTTTTATGGTGGTCGTCACAGCTACTGCCAGCAGCAGCAGAATCCTCCAGCCAGGAGCTAGGAGGGCAGCTCAGCCTCCCCTTGGTGGTCATTGCAGCCAGGCCAGCTCAGCCTCCTACACAGGCAGGTGTCTCCTGGAGCTTGCAGCTACAGGCACCTCCTTTGAGCAGTACACACGTCTCTCGTGTGAGCAGGACAAATTGTGAGGGAGAATCACTCCCTTCAAGGGCTCTTTAACACTTTGCTGACGGAGCCTCAGCCATGGGGAAGGACAAGTCTTGAGGAGCAGAGACCTGGGGGCAATACTCATTAGTAGAGAAAGGAATGAGATGGAAATGGCATTTGACATAGCAATGTCCCAGCTCAGATGCCTGAACGCTGTGCAGATGCCTGACCATGGAGTGTCTAGCTCCAAGGTTGCAGTCTCTGAGCTAAAGGATGCCACCAACTAGTTCCTGGTCTGTGGGTAAGTCCTCTGCTGATGTAAAAACACACTGCTAGGATGGGGCTCTTGGGTTATGTCTGTAGCCCAAGGAGCACTGCTGGCTAATAGAGTGCAGTCACAGTTCCTGGAGGAAGAAGGAAGGTTTTCCTGTCAGGAAGGGTTCAGGTCCTGCAGGATGTGCAGTGGTCAGTGCTGTGCTGGTGGCTCTGGTGACTGCAGGTGACACAACGAGCACCTGGGGTGTCAGCACTTTGACGCGGGAGGCTGGGAGCCTGTGACCTGAGACTCCTTGCTAGAAATGTTTCTAAAAAGCTCATCTGCCCCTGGCCACTTCCTCCCTAGGTGTCAGAGCTGAGGCAGCAGCTCCGGATACGAGGCCTGCCCGTGTCGGGCACCAAGACGGCGCTGATGGAGCGGCTGCGGCCCTTCCAGGAGTGCGGCGGCGCCGTGCCCGGCTTCAGCGAGATCACCACCGTCACCTTCCCCGTCACTCCCACCAGCACCCTGCCCAGCTACCAGCCACAGTCCTCCACCAGCATGTTGTCAAACGGCTTCTACCACTTTGGCAGCACCAGCTCCACCCCACCCATCTCTCCAGCCTCCTCCGACCTCTCTGTGAGCGGCTCCTTGCCGGACACGTTCAACGACGGACCCATGTCTTCCCCGCAGTTTGGCCTCCAGCCATCGCCGGTTCATGGCAGTGCTGAGGAAAGCCTGATGAGCAGCATGAACGGAGGGAGTATCCAGCTCGAGCTGGAAGGGATTGACACAGAGAAAGACAAGATGCTGGTGGAGAAGCAGAAGGTCATCAATGAGTTGACGTGGAAGCTGCAACAAGAGCAGAGGCAGGTGGAGGAGCTGAGGATGCAGCTGCAGAAGCGAAAGAGAAGCAACGGCCTTGAGGAGAAGCAGCAGCCACCTCAGCATTTTTTTGGTGTCCCCATCAAGCAAGAAAACGCCGTGTCCAGCTGCCCCTTTGCATCCAAACAAACTGCCTCGAAAGGCCAGTCCAGCAGCTCGGAGAAGCTGAGTAACTGTGGGGTCCCGCAGCTGCCGCATGTTGTAAATAGCCACTGCCTGGAGCCTGCAGGGCAGGGCACCATCACCTCCTCCACATTCCTGAGCCCGCAGTGCTCCCCCCAGCACTCTCCACTCGGGGCTGCCAAGAGCCCCCAGCACATCAGCCTGCCACCCTCCCCCAACAGCCACTACCTGCTCCCCGTGTCCCCCGGCGCCCCAGCCGATGGGCGCAGCGGGTCCCCGCAGAGCAGCAGCTGCCTGCGTGCCTCGGTAAGGGCAGAGCAGCCCCCTTGGCATCAGGGTGCTGAGCTCGCTGGTGTCTGTGGGTCAAACATCCCAGTCTGATTCCTTTCATGGCAGGGGGGGACTGCTGGCACCCTGGGGTGGGTGGCCCAGGGAGCTGCAGCAGCAGTGGGGCTGGCTGGAAAGGCAGAGAGCAGCCCAGGTGGGCCATGGGTTGGAAGCTGATGGCACCACAGAGTCCTTGGCAGGGCAGCTCCTGGGGGGGTTCTGATGCCACCGCACCCAGTTGCCCTGGGGGGTCTCAGCACAGCCCTGGTACAGCTCCTCCTGCCCTGGGGGAGCCCTGGCACAGCTCCCTTCTTCCCCGGGGGACCCCAGCATAGGTCTCTCTGCCCCTGGGTGAGCACTGGCAAAGCTCCCTGTGTCCTGGGAGAGAATCCTGGCACAGCATCCTCTGCCCCTGGTTAAGCACTGGTAGAGGTCCCTCTGCCCTTGGGGAGTACTGGCACAGCTGCCTCTGCCCTAAAAGAGCCCCAACTCAGCTCCCTCTCCCCTCAGGGGAAGGCCCTGGCACAGCTCCCCTCTTCCCCAGGGGACCTCAGTATGAGCACTGGCAAAGTTCCCTGTGTCTTGAGAGGGTCCTGGCATGGCTCCCTCTGCCCCATGGAGCCCTGGCACTGCTTCTCCACCCTGGGGAAGCCCTGGCACAGCTCCCCCAGCCCCACAAAGCCCTGGCAAAGTTCTGCCCACAGTAGGGAAGCACCAGCATAGATCTCTCAGTCCCTGGGAGAGCCCTGGCACAGCTTCCTACACCCAAGGGACAGCCCCACTGCAGGGCTTTCAGCACCTTGCTGAGCCTTTGCAGCTCCTAGCAGTGTGTGAGGGGGTTTGAACAGGGGGTCGAAGTGTGTGTGTGGGGGGGATTGTTGCCCCTATCATATGAGAAGCCTTTTCTTGAAAAGATAGAGCAGGGTCTGCCTCCCCAATGGGAACCAGCACAGCACAGTTGTCCCTTCAGCACCCAGAACTCTTACTCAGCCCTCTGGGCAGTTCTGAAAGCTCAGAGAGGGGCACATGCTGCCAACACACAAAAGCAGCACAGGTACAGGTTGGGTGGAGAATGGATTGAGAGCAGCCCCAGCAGTGGGGCACGGAGCTGCAGAGGTGACTGGGCTGTGGGGCAGAGCTGTGAGGGCAGTGGACACAGTGCTGGGAGGTGACACTCCAGTGGGGCTGCCTGGGAGTCTGGGAATGCTCCTTAGGGGCATTCCCAGCTCATTCCTTACTGCCTGAGTGCAAGAGGCACCACAGAGGGGGTGTCCCCACAGTGTCCTGCAGCTCATCCCACTGTGACCCCCCCCCCCTGGCTGTTCCTCTCCTGCCTGCAAGGGGCTCCTGGGGGTGAGGGTCCCTCTTCAGCTCCCTCTCTGTGCCTAACCAGGGCCATACCCAAGGCAAGGATAACATTCCCTCCAGAGAAAGGTGGCCAGGATCTGCCTGGCCCCACCAAGTGGTCTCACTGCTGCCCTGGATCCACTTCTGGGGCTAACCTGCCTGCAGGATCCATGGTGTTGGCTCTCCTGGGCTGAGGCAGCCACGGGCTGGTGGTGGGAAAGGACACACAGGGGCCTGGAGGCAGTGGGGACAACAGCTGGCAGGCATTGGAGCTTCAGATGAGGTCCCTCCTGGAAGAGGGGACTGGCAAGAGGCTGGCAATGGTACTCAGGTGTTTTGCACAGGCACAGCCAAGGAGCTGACCTGACAGTGACTCTTGGAGTGGTCTTCCCTGGCCTGGGCTCTGTGAAATGCCCTGGGCAGGTTGTGATGGAGAGGGTCCCCAGCAGAGGGGCTGGGAGGCCGTGGGCAGCTGGAGGCAGCTCAGCTCTCTCTCCCACTTGTATCTTCATGGCAGGACCGAGCACCAGGTGCAGCATCACTCCTGTGCTCCAGCAGCAGCCCAGCCCTGGGGCTCAGAGCTGGGCTGAAGGACCTAGTTTAAACCCCCCATCTCCTGCCCACAGGCCAGACACTTTGTTTGACCAGACCAGCTGGTTTGACCCACAAAACCATTCCTTTCCCTGGCACCACCCAGCGGGGTGAGCGCGCTGGGTCTCCCTGTGCATTGACTCCCTTTCCCTGTATTTCCCCCACGCAGATGGCTGCCCAGGCAGGTCAAAAGTTTTCTATTCCAGCCCCAAGTTTTTATAAGCCAAGCCCAGCCCTCTCAGAGGTAAAGCAGCCTCCACCCTATGAGGATGCAGTAAAGCAGGTAACTGCATGATTTTTCTTTTCTATAGGGCTAGGGCTGAGCAGGGTGTTCTTCCGTGGTGCATGTAACTCATCTGCAGGAGTTACCACCCACTACAGGGTCTCTGGGCAGGACAAGCCTGTTTCCATAAGGAAGGGGCTTTTCTGGAGGAGCTGGTTGCTGGATGACTGACACCCAGCAGTCAGACACCAAGCTGGATGGGATAGCATCTTCTGTGCCAGCCCATCCCGGGGTCCTGCCATCCACACAAATACCCCAGGACTTCTGTGTACTCTTTTTGGGGTGCCCAGTGCTATGGAAGAAACAGACTCTTGAGCATTTCCAAGACACCCAGAAACCTCACCTTCCCTCAGAACCCATTAGCAAAGTGCCCTTCTCCATGCCATCTGCCTCCCTTCAGCTTCCCCTGGAGTGCTGCTCCCACAGGGAGGACGGGCTCCACCTCCATCAACCCCTAATTTCTTCTGAGTCTGGAGCAGCCTCAGTGCTGGTCATGATGGTGCCTTCAGGAAAAATGGAGTGATGCTGTTGGCAGCAATAAAAATGGGCTTATGCTGCCTGGCAGGGAGGGAGGCAGAAAGTCCTTCCAGTCTCTGGTCAGGGAGAGGAGGATGATGTGCTGCCCCCAGGGAGATGCAGGGAGTGCAAGGAGGAATATGCCAGCGTGAGGTGGTGGGTCCAAAAAGTCAGCATGTCCTGACAGGCCTGGGAAGGGACAGTCTGTGGTAGCCACTGAGCAGAGGCAGCAGGGCTGGGGGAACCTGGTGCTGTGCTCCCCTGCTTTTCTCAGGGCCCTGCAGTGCTGACCTGAAAGCTGCTGCCAGCCCTGAGCTGGGGGTGGCATGCCCCCTGCATGGGAGAAAGCCCTTGGTGGGGTCTAGAGCCACCTTACCAGGCTGGTGGCCAGAGGGACTCTCCTAATGTCCTCTCCTCTTTGTTGTTTTCTTCAGCAGCTGACACGGAGTCAGCAGATGGACGAGCTCCTGGATGTGCTGATTGAGAGTGGAGGTACACACTGCTTCCCTGCTCCCCTCCAGGGCTTCCCTCTTCCTCTCCAGGGCTTCCCCACCCAGCCAGGGTCAGTCCATGGGGCTCAGCACACCCTGTGCCCCCAGCAGAGCTGCCCAAGTTGAGCACAGCTCTCCTTTGCCCTCCTCGTGCTGGCGGCCACCGAGACTGACCCCAAAAGCATCTTGGCCCTCCCAGAACCAGCACCCACCTGTGCAGAGCTGGTGGGGTGACAGGGCTTGGTTATGGCCTGTGCAGACTGCACAGAGAGAAGGGGACAGCAGTGCCCCCAGTGCTGCCAGTGCCATGCCCTGCACAGAGCACTGCTGCTGCCCTCCCCCCTGCACAGTGTTGCCTGTGTCCTTTCCCAGGCACAGCCCCTGCCCTGTGCCCAGCCCCAGGGGACAGCTGCCAGTGCTCCTGCACTGGGGACTGTGTCCAAAACCAGTAGAGACGAGGTCAGAAAGCAGGAACGTGTGAAGTTTCCCACAGGGAGGGTGGGTGAGCAGTGCCAAGGGGACTGAGTGGGGAGCAGGTTGTGCCCAATGACCCGGCTGGGGGGTCTGTGGTGGTGGCCCCGTGGCCTCCACTACCAGAGCACCTCAAACTCCTCTGATTTGTTGACAGAAATGCCGGCCAATGCCAAGGAAGACCGGTCCTGCCTCCAGAAAGTACCTCAGATAACTGTGTCCACGGGGAACTCCAGCGCTGCGCACCCGAAGCCGCCAGCCAGCACCTTCGAGCAGGTCCCCCCGGCCCAGCTCTCCTTCGAGCACTGCCCAGGCAGCAGTGATGCTCACCTCGAGGTCCTGCTGAGCAACCACAGCCCCCTGGGCAGGGTCAGCGAAATCGCCCTGCTGAAGATGGGGGGAGAAGAGCCCCACTTCGAAGGGATGATGGAGGGGTTCTCTGGCAAAGCCGCAGACGAACTGCTCACCTCCCAGGAGATGTTACAGACTCCCCTCTCACCCATGGAGACCCAGCTCTCCCCTTCCCCTGCCGAGGGCTCGGGTTTACAAATGAGCTTCACTGAGTCTCCGTGGGAAACGATGGAGTGGCTGGACCTCACCCCCCCCAGCTCTGCCACTGGCTTTGGCTCCCTCACCCCCACGGGGCCCAGCATCTTCAACATTGATTTCTTAGATGTTACTGATCTCAATCTAAACACCAGCATGGACCTGCACCTGCAGCAGTGGTGAAAGGGGAGGTGCTGGAGGCAGGGCACTGAGCCTGCAGCAGCCAGCGCAGGGTTCCTGTCAGCTGGGGGACACAAAGGGCTAACGTGCCACTTCCAGGGGAAACTGGAGTCATTGTCCCAGCCTATAAACTTGTTTGGATTTGCCAGTTACTGTGAAGTGACAGCACAACAGCTCTGGTACTTCAGTTTTCCTCCATCAACACGTTCTCACAGAGAACACCAGTGCCTTTAACAACACTTTTTTTTTTTTTAAGATTGACAAGAACTTCAGTTTTGTTTCTTTTATCTCCCCCCCACACACCTCCCCCCAGTCACTCTCATGGAGCAGCTCATGACAAAACTGTGTGGTGAGGAGACCTCACCTGGGTGGCAATGGGAAATCCTGGAGAGGAGAGCCCATTGCTGGCCCCTCCTCTACCCACCTCCTGCCTATCCAGCTCTTTAGACAATCCTGCCGGGCTCCTCTTGGCCATGCCTGAGCCAGGGCTTTAGGAATGGGGAGGCTCTGCCCAGCCAGGGCCACAGGCACACTTCTCCATACAGCCAAGCTTGCCTTGTGTCCTTTTTCCTGCCCCCAAAGTGGCTTTGCCCAGTCCCTGCACAGCTCTGTTCTGGGTGGATGAGAGATGGAGACTGTCAATTTCATGGTGGCATCTTGTCATATCCTCACGGTGTCTGGGGGGCCCAGGAGCCATCCCAGTTGCAGTCTGAACTGAATCAGGTTGAAGCATGTGGCCTTGGAGGCTTCTCTGGATGTTGGAGGCAGCTGTTGAGGCTGTAGGTTCAGGTACCAGAGGGACGTGGCCTCCCAGTGGAGCTGCCACGGCCCCGCTGCTCTGGTACGGACGGAGAGACATGTTATGTGTTTTGGTCCAAGGTAGGAGCAAGTCGTATAGAAACCAGAGGCAGGCTTTGGAGGGGCTGTCCTTGGCACAGCCACAGGGCAGGATGGATCCCCAGCACCTGGCACGGCCTGGGAGCAGGGGAACCAGAGACGGGCACCCGATGACCTGCGCGTGGGGCAGGGATGAGCGGGGCCCGCGCGGGGCTGCGGTTCTGTGTGAGCATCTGCTTGTGTTCCCTCCACTCCTCTGCCACCCATCCCTCCATCCTCCTCGATCCCCAGCAGTCATCCCCTTCTCCCCAGCTCGGCTCCAGCATCACTGTTCACTCAGCCCAGGGCAGGGCCATCTGGAGAACAGCTGTGAATCACTGAGCCTGGAGGAGCCAGTTCTCCCGGAGCCAGCAGAGGTGGCTGCTCTCCTGCAGTGCTGCCTCCTGTCTGAAGTCACCAGCATTTCTCCTGTCAGTCTCTGTGCAATATCCTTCCTCAGGCACCAGCAAAAAAAACAAAACAAGGAGCCTTCCCTTCACTTCTTGGCTTCCACCAAAGAAAAAAAACCTGCTGCAGACTGTTTGACGGACACTGCTTTGCAATCCCGGTTCTGCCAAAGTAAATATTGTCGCTGACAAAAGGTTGTTAAACTATTTACAGACTGAGCGTATTTAATATTTGTGTTACTGGAAGGAGAGCACAGGGAGCCCAGCAGCTGGGAGGAGGCCCAGCAGGAGGGCTGGTGGGCAGCCTGGCTCCCAGGGATGCTGGAGCAGTGGAGGAGTCTCTGCAGCCCCTGCTGTGTCTCCAGCCGGTGCCCTTGCTTTGCATGCTGTATAAAGCACGTGGCAGTAGCTTTCAACTCACTATTTAAAGCACCACTTTTCTATTGTACAAACGGTCACAGTGCACTGCTAGGATAGACCAGCACAGGTTGCATTTGTTTTTGTTTGTGTTTTGTTTTGGGTTTTTTTAAAGTATTTCTTTTTCTAAAGAGAGAGATTTTTTTCTTTCTGAAGCCGGTCTGTGGGGAATTATTGATAGCACTTGAAGGGGAGCATTGTTAGCTGCTACACTGCCTCATTGTACAGGCCTTTCCAGATCATTTTTCTCCTCTCAGCAAATGTACTTCCTTGTTGAAGGGATGCTGTCAGCTTCAAACCTGTAAGCAAGCACATTTCCTTACCTATGTTACCAGCAACACCTTCATTATTAAAAACCCCTTTGTCTTGCCACTCTGCTCCCAGTTTGCTGTTTGATTTCACTGGCTGGGGCAGCCACTGCCTGCCCAGCTGCCACCTTTTGCTATCATCTCCATGCCCTGGGGCAGCTACAGCCCTTGCAGGAGCAGAAGTATTTCTCTCACATCAACAGCTTCTCCTGGAAGACTTCTAAACAAGCTGCCTGGAGTCACCTGTTTTCTGAAGGCTTTTCCTTCTGTTGGCTTTGGTTTGGCTTTGTTCCCCTGCAAACCCTGCTCCTGGGGTCAGTGTCCCCTTCAAAGGCAGAGGTTGGTCCCTGCCCAGACCTCTGGGCAGTTTCCAGCAGCTCCTGGTAGTGGGGGGCTGCCCAGGGACTGCTGGATGCAGGGCACAGAGGGGCAGAGCTGCCCCCCCCCCCACTGAACCTCCTGTTGCCCACAGGTGAGTGGCAGAGGGTGGAGAGCTCTCCCTGGGGCACCCTGGCTCCTTCTTCCTGGGAGACACCACTGTTAGTTTCCAGTTTCATGGCACGTTCCCTTGGAATCCAAGAGTGCCTAGAACATTCTGGTTTGCAGAGAGGGACTGGCTGTGTGTCCACAGCCAGGCTAGAAAGGGGCAACAATCCTGAGCCATTCATAGAATCATGGGGTGGTTTGGGTTGGAAGGGACCTTCGAGACCATCCAGTTCCAACCCTGCATGGGCAGGGACACCTCCCACCAGCCCAGGCTGCTCCAAGCCCCATCCAACCTGCCCTTCAACACTGCCAGGGATGGGGCAGCCACAGCTTCCCTGGGCAGCCTGGGCCAGGCTCTCACCACCCTCACAGCAAAGAATTTCTTCTTATCTCATCTCAATTTCTCCCTTTTCACTTGAAACCCTTCCCCCTCATCCCATCCCTCCCTGCCCTTGTCCCAAGTCCCTCCCCAGCTTTCCTGGAGCCCCTTCAGGCCCTGGAAGATGCTCTAAGGTCTCCCTGGAGCCTTCTCTTCTCCAGGTTGAACACCTCAACTCTCCCATGACCTGTGGGGACTGCACGGGGGGGCAGCAAGTGAAAATCCCAGAGCACGTTCCTGCTGCTGCAGCTCTGCTGGGAGCTGGGGTCTGTTTCTGGGATTCCTGCAGGTGATGCCCCTTCTTTCCCTGTGACCTTCCCAGGGGAGGGGGGAGATGGGGGCTTTCTTAGTGTTCAGATCTATCTCGCTTTAAAAAAGAGCAAAAAACAACTACAACAAATTCCACAGAACAAAAACACCAAACAGTTGAAGATGTTTTATTAATTATCATTAAACCCAGTTAAACCATCCCTTTACTCAGGCCTCAGGTTCCTGCCTTTGCCCTCAGGGGCCGGGATGGGGGGTTTGCCTCTGCCTGTCCTGCCTGGCTGCTGAGATGATGGATCTGGCCCTAGGGACCAAGATCCTTGGGAGGATCCTCGGTGGCTGGGAGAGATCCTTGTGGGCTGACACTGTCCTTGTGTCCCTCTGCCTTGGGGACAGCCTGGTCTTGGCCCTCGGGAAGCCTGGCAGGAGAGAGCAGAGACACTTCCCGAAATCAATGCATCCTGATTGCAGTATTTTTTACAACCCTCACCTTGATTCTGGCCGTTTCAACCTCAGGGCCCTCCTCTGTGGCAAACACTGAAGTAAATTAAAATCTGATGAATCGTTCTGCCTGGTTCCACTAGGGGGAAGGCACGACCACTTTTTTCCCTCCCAGCCTCAGCAATTCTGCAGCCAGCTTCAAGTCTCAGCCCTCATTCTGCTCATCCACAGAGTTTCTAATTCATGAAGAGCCCCCGCTGAGCTCCAAGAGGAAGAGCAGAAATCCCATTGTCTTTGGAGATGGAAAGTGTGCAAACACAACCTTTGGCATCCCAGTTTCAGGGATAGCTTCAATCTGTGTTGAGAGGAGCAAAAGGAAGCAGTAACTTTGCCTTCAAGGACAGTGCCTGGAAATCAGGGAAGGATGTGAGGTGATCATCCTTCTCTACTCAGCCTGGGTGAGGTGACACCTCAAACACTGTGTCCAGTTTTGGGCACCTCAATACAAGGACATTGAGATGCTAGAGCAGCTCAAAAGAAGATCAACAAAGCTGGTGAAGGGCCTGGAGAGCAAGTCCTATGAGGAGTAACTTGCTGCCTGAAGGGAAACCCTGGGGTTATTTGCCAGAGCCCTTCCACCCTCCTGCAGTTCAAAGCAACCTCTGCAGCTCACAGTGCAGGTTTCAGTCTGTCACATCAGGTGGCAGAGTGTCTCCCTTTTTGCCTTGGAGGGCTTCAAATCATCCCTACTCTGCAAAGTTCTCCCCTAAACCACATCCACCAACACCACATCCCAAAGAGCCTTCAACACACCCAGGGATGGTGACTCCACCACCTCCCTGGGCCGCCTGTTCCAGTCTCTAACCACTCTTTCTGTGAAAAAATGTTTCCTACTGTCCAGTCTAACCCTGCCCTGGCGCAGCTTGAAGCCCTTCCCTCTTGTTCTGTCACTGATGAGCTGTGAGGAGAGACCAGCACCAACCTCTCCACAATGACCTTTCAGGTAGTTGTAGAGACTGATGAGTCTCTACAACTAATGAGACTCCCCTCAGCCTCCTCTTCCTCAAACTAATCCTCACAGGTCCTTGTGGCATCTGTCCTCCAGGAGGCCCTTAAAAGCAAAGCTGAGTGCCAAGTTGAAGCAACCAATTTAACTATTCAAAACTTCCCTGGTTTGCTGCACAGGGAGCAGGTACCACTCTCCCATATGGTTTCATTAAATACAGTGGCAATCTCTGAACTGATGATCAAGACAAACCAGCCCCAGGAATGCTGTTGGCAGCCCTTGCACTGCACTAACCTCACACACAAGTGAATTTTCAGCAGTCAGGATCTTCTATCTTGACTCCAACCACAGAACTACTCATGTCACATTTCTTATTCGAAGAATCTTCCTTGTATAAATTACTGTCTCTAGGCTTAAACAAATGAAAAAAAAATTACAAACATGCTCTGGTGAAGTATTTATTGCAGGGACAAACAGTCCAGCCTTACTGGTTATGCTG